TGTTTATATTGCATGAGACACTGATTAAATAAAAATATTGACATAATTATATGTTTTGGAGCTTTGGTCATGGTATACTTAACCATGTATTCAGAGGTTATTGCAGGTTTAACATGTACACTGTAGTGTGTAATTGTGCACATCAAAAATCTTGGATGGAGCACTTCTTATATGGGAATTTGTTTTTCCAAAATACCATTTACCTGCATGTTGGAGAATAGACCACTGGAGATCGATTAATGATCACTACATTATATTTTTAGATCATTTAATCCCTATTATGATGTTTCAGAAAATATTGTTTAAGTTACTGTTCTCATTTGTTGTTTTTGATTATTTATTGTTATGATATTTCAGAAAATATAGTTTTAGTATATCCATTTGGCATTTTTTCCCTATTATTTCTACACAATACTGATTTTTAGCAAATATACCTTATTAATTCTTTTATTGTCATTATTATATCTACTGTGGTCTATTCTCCAATGTCACTTGTTTTGTATTTGGTGTCAAGGTATTGCTGGAAAATGGTATTTTGGAAAAACAAACTCCCATAAAAGTGTCCCATGCAGGATTTTTTTTTGAGCAGAATTACATATTATACTGTTAAACTTGCAATAACCACTAAATACATGGTTATGTTATGTGTACCATCACCATTGCTTCATATAAGGCCTTAAAGAATGCTATCAAAAAAAGTACATGAATCAAAAGCAATGTCAACTAATTTATATAGCTGAAATATGAATTTTAACATTAGGTGTGGAAGAATATATCTTGTGAATTAAAATTGAAGTTATTCAAGCACACAGTTCCTGATAACCAAAATTAGTCAATAATAAAAGACAACAAAAGATTCATGTATCAAAAATTTCGAGAAAAATGATCTACATTTTGAAAGCAAAATAAATAGTTCATTAGGTTTGTTTGTGATACAAAACACTCTTACAAGTAACAACAATTATTCCACAAACTATGTAAAGTCATAAGACAACAAACAGGAAGAATTGACTATTCTGAGTATGGATTGAAACAATACCCTTACGTGACCTTAGGGAAATATCCTAGATGTACATGCACATACAATTATGAATCAAAAACATCTGGGTTTGAATTCCATTAATATATCGACAACAAACACGATAACGTCAAACGAAAAACGCAGAGAACTGGGAAACAATTTTGACCTAACAACAAAAGCATTATTCTTACCGGTTGAGCTAGATGCTCGTTGTCGACTAGTGGAACGCCCAACTTGTCGCCTTTCTTCTCAGAAAATGGCTTGGTGAGAATGGTCATCTTTAAAATTCAGACAAAAATGTAAAGACAAATTTGATCGATAATCTGGAAGTGAGACTGCAAAACAACCACAACGAACGACCAGGAAATATCACCTAAATATTATATGACATGGAACAAAAAATAACTTGTCGTGACAGTGACAGTTAACACTGCTTAACGATCACAAACAAAATATGTATAGAACGTTAAAAGCTCCAGCAAGAGCAATGTTGCCAGGGTGCTGAGGCGTTTAGTCATAAGAAATTCGCTGCTTCCGAAAAATACTCTTGCCAACAATCGGATAGATAACTTCATGCGGATCAGTTTTTCTTATTTGTAGTATTCTCAATTCATCCGTTCTAGTTTCACTGGCCTAAGCGTAACGAAATTTGATGAACACGTATTTTCAATATTTACTCATTTTTCCGTTTCAAGCAATTGACAGATTTATGTAAGGTCTTTCATTAGGAAAGGGGAATATCTTAATTAGAGTGATGATAAATAATCGGTCGCTAGGTCTCTACTCTCTAGGCTCTTATAAAGTGTATTAACAAAATTCATTCGTGATGTCCTCCTCCTGTCCTTTGCCCAGGAGTCTCAAAATGGCTTGAGACGTCCCTGAGCTAGCTTGCAATATACACTATTTTTTGGAATCTGGGACTCGGGATCAGGACTCAACCTGAATCTTATGGCTTCCGGTTCGGGTATTACGTACCTTGAAAAGTGACGTTATATCGATTTTTTTAACATTATACTGTTTTTTTTACATATTGTAGGTTTTTCTACAAGATGTTAACTTAAAACGCACAACACAAACAACTCGTTGGGCGCAGCTAATAGATACACATCATTGGCATCATATTCAGTAATGATTTTCTCACACAGCAAATATCACTGATTTTATCCACTTGCAGACCAATACACATAATCATCCAGATGCGATCTTGCTTTCAACCAACTTTCTTCCCAGAGATGAAAACTACATATAAATCAAATTCAAGCGGATAACCAAATGGAAATGGTATTTACCATTTTGGGTTGGTATTTACCAATCCGTTCAAGCGAGTGTAGTTATCAGTTTGGTTATAAGATCCGTGACGTCACGAATCAGCTGTCATATGTCATAGTTATCACCGCAAAATTGTGGTATTTACCCAACTCAAGAGTCGTTTTATATTTCTGGTTATTATTTGAAATGTGACAAGTTAGAATTTTGCCGGGTATTGGATATTGTTATTGTACTTCAGCTTCATTTTTGAGAAAAATGATACAGGCTGACTTCAGTTTTACCATAAAGTGGAGCACCTTATTAGTTATACTCATTACGGTTGTTGGGGACACTTTAAATGTAGTTCCTATGCTTAACAAAGTATCATGTGTAGCCATATACCACAAGAATATTAAAATATGGCCATATAAACTCACTAGATGCTATCCACCTGTAAACGGTTTTGCTAATTTCTTTTTTCATTATTTCTGCTGAATCAATAAATGTTTTCTTTGACATGCGGAAAACTTTTGTGAATTGAAAGTTATCATAGCTACAAAACCATGGTTCCATCATTAAAAATTTGTTTATGAAAAAAAAAACATTTCTCCCATGAATATTATGAAAGGTTTCTTATTTAAACTTTCCATACACCGTTGTAGACAAAAAAAGCATCAATTATTAAGTGATAATTTACGCACTCTCCTAAAATAAACAACTTCCAACAAAACCGCGGTTAAAACCAACGCGTTCAAGCGATTCGTGTAACTGAGGTCATCAACCCGTGTGTCATCTTGAACCATATTATAACCTCGGCACATAACACAGAAATTTTGGTTATTCGCTTGGATTTGATTATACAAACCACTCAGCTTCACAAAACATATGCAACCAACAATGCGTGTAGTTGAGTTGAGTTATTCTTCCATAAATGGACGCTCAGAACCATCCTAGTGAGCAAACGAGGAATGCCTTTGTGCACCCTAAAAACTACCTAGTCTGCAAGATGACATTTTATAGGTTTTTTTATGTTTTACAGGTTTATTACATAATACCCGTGCGTGTGTTACATAAATAGTCAAGCAATAATTAAGATCATATATACCAATAGCAATTTCAAACAGAAATGAATGAGTAGGTACTATGATGCTACACTAATATGATTATTTCTAGGGAATCTAATTTTTAACTGTATCTAAAAACACATCTGTGAATTTTTTTGCATTATTTCCCTTGGTTAAAGGTTTCTTATCTCTGATCATCGGAGGCTGCAAAAAAAACGTATAATTCAGATTTGTTTTAGTTTTGGAGGATCTCAACCATTTATTCAAGACAGCAGATTAAATAAGCATGTGTCGACCATAGAAACTTCCCTTTATCATCATTTTTCTGCTAACGTGTAGCACTTGGCAACAGTGGCAGTAGTTTGTTTGAGTCCCTAGACAAATTGTATCCTAGGAACAGGATCGCAGAAATGAGAGGAGATGACATACAGGAGTGATAGGCAGGAGAAAAGAAGGTAGTGACATGACACAAATTAAGAAAAGTTATCTTGACCTGCCATTTTCATCCCTACGAATCTGTACACAACACATTACAAGTACGTATTACTCGAAATAAACAGAATACAAGTAGAATGAATATTGATTTTATATAATTAATAGAAAAAATCATGATGTACATTTTTATTCCAAAAGTTCATAATTGGTCTTCTTGACCGGTAATGATATGTTTAGTATTAAAAAGACCGAATGAAAGGTTTCAAGCATGGTATCAGTATCTATGTTTTACTTCCTACTAAGAGTATCGTAATGGCCAGAATTTTCGAAAATGAAATGTTCTGTTTTTTTATGTTATATGTATTCACGAAAAAACATGTCACTCATTTTCGTCGATATGTCTGTCTGTCAGCTAATCCGTCTAACTTTGTAATCGTACCGCTCGAAGTTTGATGAAAATTTTACACAAGGTTAATACAGGGTGTTTTCAAAGTTAAATCATTTATTTTAACAGCTTATTGTAGAACTCGTCAAAAGACGTTGATATACCAAAAGTCACCTACGTAAAAGTTGCACAATAAGAGAGTTAGCTTATAAAAAATTGTTAAAAAAACATTATCTAGTTAAATGGATACCGTTTTTCCAAAACTGTTCAAAATTGACCCCATTTATACAAACTTTGAAAATAAAATCCTAGAACGAATTAAAGCACAAGTCTTTTCAGTGTGCGCCGTTGAACTTCTTCCAGGGTATTTTTACTGATCCATCATGATACACCAACTATTTCAAATAGCCCCACAGATAAAAAATTGCATAGCATTAATTCTGGGAAGAGAGCAGACCAAGAAATTTGTCCATTGTACCCTATCCACCTATAAGGAAACTAATTATTCAGATGTTTATGAACTTCTCGTCTAAAATGTGGTGGAGCCACATCATGTAGGAACCATATACCTACTCTGTCTCACATTTAGCAGAACACCTCATAATAATTGTTGCGGATTGTGTCGAAGAAAATCTAAACAAATTTCACCGGTCAGTCGGCTGCATTTTGTTGGCACTCTTCGTATGTCAAGTATTATCTCCACCAGCTCATTGGTTTCGTAAACGAGGGCCATTTTTTAGAATTTATAGCATCTTAGATTAATAATAGAGGTTATTAATATGTCGGATATGAACACTTGTTTCGTTTGGCCCACTTTTAGTTTCTTACTTTTTATCCGTGCTTTTATCGTTCTGTGATAGAACTGTCAGTGTCAGATGGGAAAGGTTATATCGGTTATGTCAGTTGTTTATTGCCTATATAATTCGTCTAGATTGATGATGCTTTTTAAAATTCAAAAAACGCTTCAGATTAACGCTGTTCAGAACTATATAAGATCGTCCAATACATCCGTACAACACTACTGAATATCAAATTAAGGTAATATTATGCGTCCCTGAAATTGCACATGCTCAGTGAATGAATATTTTAGATGAATGAAAAAACATCTTCAGCCAAAGATGCAAAGGAAACTTTCCAATGCCTGATGGAGCTATCAACTCTTCTTGGTGCAGATTTAGATCCTGAAGTGCTCTCTATTTGTGTCAGACTTTGTGAAGCTGGGGTAAACCCAGAGTTATTAGTTACTGTATTGAAAGATATACTGAAGGAAGTACAAGTTGTTAGACAAGAAGAGTGAAACAAAAAAAATACTTCTAGACATATGCATTATTCAAGATACAAAAATTTGTAGAATTATTTATTCATATAAAATAAATTAGTAAATTACAGCTCCTCCTTAGGTTTTGAGTATTTTCCAGGATATACCTTAGATTCTATTGTAACACTTTCACATTTATCTTGTTCAATTAAATATTCCTTTGCTTGCCATGCTTGGGATCCATCTTTGAACAAAAATATGGCCCTATTGTCATCAACAAGATATCGTTCAGCCTGTATATGACTATTCCATAAGCTTGTTTGCCATAGCTTTGTTAGTTCTTCAGTCACATCTCTACTAGGGTGTCCAGCTACTTGCACAAAAGTCATTAAAGTCCTGCCTTTCTTTGTAGCTTGCAACAGGGATTCAGGATCATCTGTGTTGATTTCATTCAGATTGATTTTTGGCATGGGACGAAGATGCTCTGGTAATTCATCCTCCTCCAACGGTTCGTCATCTTCCTAAATAAAAACAGTACAGAAAATATGGTTAGCAAGGATACATTGGATTGAATTGATGATAAACCTACTTCCCACTGCTCTAATAGCCTTTCCATATCTGCTTCTGTAAAGTCTCTGATGTCTTTCTTTGCCCACTCCGGTTTTTCATTATCTTTGAATTTTTTTGCGCTTGCTGTAGCTATCAAACACGTTATATATACAAAAAGTAAGTTCATCTTAATAAATAATATTTCCAAAAATATAAGGAAAAGGGTGAAAATACATAACCACAACGCTGGGAATCTGTCGAGATGTCAAATCCGATAGTAAACAAAGCTAAAGCCGGTCACAGACGTTGCTCTTTTCCATATTACCCGTCTTACATCGACAATTTCTTCAAGAATTTATCAAATGGATCTATTCAACGTCATTCTGAGGTTTTGTGATATTTCCAATTCCACTGATTATCTGACCGTACACAGTAGTGCTAACTACACAACAAATTCTTGCCAGGCCAGAAACATTTTTTTTTTATATGTATTTTGAGGTGAATCTCATAAACAGAAACCATATTGTTGAATACTGTAATTCTAAGATGTATACTTGAATTTTAAGGTTGTTCAATATGATGGAAAGGAAAAGAAGGTTGACTCCATGGAGTTTGACTTCCAACTTCGCAAATATTAGAACAAGTTCTAATTGCGTGACAAAATCCAGGAAGATTTTGATTTTTCGTCAAATTCCTGTTTGCTACTTTTTAATCCATAGATATAATTGTCAAATGTATAACGGTTGGGTATTTCAGATCCGAATCAGCGTATCTTTCGACATTCATCTTAATTTGAGTTTGACGGTTTCACTAAATAACAAAAAGATTAGGTAGTTACGAATTAGTCACACGTTTTCGAATTGTGCACCGTCTATCAAACGACTGAAAGCTCAATTTGACTAAAAATGGCAGGCGGTATACAAAGTACGGCCCACACGTGAAGGAAAAGACTGGAAGAAAAGCATGACGTCGTGATCGGCTTAATACTTTGACAGTGACAACTTGACATTGTTCTAGAAGACCTCGGAAAATACTTTGTTTTCGTTGTGGAAGAGTCCAAAAATCTTGCTAGTTTTTTTGATAGTTAAAAAAACTGAAAGATAACACTTGAAGGTCAATCACCGGCTATCAATACGTTATCTGGATAAGCAACTCGATCATGTCAGAAGGGACCTGTGAAGGCAAGGTATTCCGAAATTCCATTTAAATATTCTTTCTCTAATAACTTCTTTTCCAGCCTAAACTCCCAGTTAGGCATGACTGGTACCAAACCGATGCCGCAGTTGTTATTACTGTATTAGTAAAAAATATACAAAACGAGTGTCTGAAAGTAGAATTCAATGAATCATTTGTGAAATTGAACATCTCACAACCTGAATATGAACCTTGCGAAATGTGCTTCAAATTATCATATAAAGTCGTACCAGAGCAGTGCAGCTATAAGCTCACACCATCCAAGGTACAGTTTTTTGTAACTGCAATATATTAGGGTAAATTCAAATTCAAGTTGTTAACAGATTTAGGTTCTAAGTTGAAGGTAACTCGGAGCAAAGCCAGATTTTTCTCCAAAGTGTAAGGCACCAAGATTGGTTGCACTTGATTGGTACTGGTTCTACAGAGTTTCCAATAAGTACCACGACAAACTTAAGAAGGTAGGCTTTGGATTGACCTTGAATTAACAAAAACTTACCTATATAAAAGTGTGACCGTTTTTGAGATATTAAATTTTTCCTTAAATTTAAAAAAAAAATCTAACCTTTTCATCTGTGGTCTTTAACTACATGTACAAATAAGGTTATGCTTTGTTCATTTTTTCTATAAAATACTTCTAGATAGTTGCTTTATCATATACAAATGCAATGTAGTTAAAAGATATTAAGGAACCATCTGATATTGTTTACTCAACTTTGACGATCTGTGGTGAAGCAGAAATGTACTGAGCGATAACTGCATTTATTGAATAAACGATTGGGAAGGACCCCACACTTACTATTTGGAATAGAAAAAAAAGTGATATTTGTAAGTGTCTTGACACACACTACAATGTATTTATTGGATTTACATTCAAGTTATTGACTAATGTGTCAGGCTAGGTTTAAGTTAGTGGTGGAGTTGTGGATAAATTGGTGGTAGCGGCAACAGTGGGCGGTCGACGTTGCCCGCAGGACAAGAAGGTGAAAGAGAGGACTGACGAAAGGAGTGCAATATATTTTAAGTTTAATTAATTCTATAAATAGGGAATTAAGATTCCCTATTTCCAATACATTTATATCTTTAGGGGTTCAGTGAATACAGTGTCTCACAACTTAATCGTGGTATTATTGTCTCAACTGTTACCTTACCCTTGATGATAAAGAGTTTCCCCAGGAACACCTGAGGAATGTTACACCAATGACAAGCTAAATAGTACAACACAACAATATAATGCAGTTATAGCCTAGTACATTTTTGTTCCACCACAGATGGTCAAAGTTGAGGAAAAAATATCAGAAGGCTATAAATCCTAAAATAATCCTTATATGATCATGGTTTCTTAATATCTCTTAACTACATCGCATTTGTATATGATAAAGCAACTATCTAGAAGTATTTTATAGAAAAAATGAACAAAGTATACCTTATTTGTATATGCAGCTAAACACCACAGATGAAAAGGTTAGTTTTTTTTAATTTAAGAAAAAATTCAATATCTCAAAAACGGTGACACTTTTATATAGGTAAGTTTTTGTTATTTGGGACATCAGTCCAAAGCCTACCTTCTCCTTAAGTTTGTCGTGCTACTTATTGGACACCCTGTATAACTGTGCTCCTTAATACATGCATATCTTACTTTAATTGACTAATATCAAAGCAATTTTGCAAGAGCTTTTTTTAAAAATGATTACTGCTAGTAAATTACCTATATTAGTTATACTTTATTGAGAATTTTTGGTTTGAATTTCAAGGTACTACTTATTGGACAGTGTCACATCTGAAACTCATCATATGGTGACCAATCTCCATATTCTGCTAGCCATAAAATGAAACTGCAGACTACAGATGTGTGGAAGTTTACTAAGATTTGACCACATCTGAATTGTACTTTCGAAGAGGCTACCAAGGTGGCTAATATTTTATATTTTATGTCATCATATGTGGTTTCATTTGGAGGCCAGCAGAATATGCAGATTTATTGGCCAGCATTGATATTTTCAATTTTAAAAATTCAGATAGTCCAGTCACTGATACCATTTAGGAGATGAACCTGTTCTGTTTGAAAGAGTCGAACAATATACAATTTGACATTTTTACTAATGAGAAATGCTGTTCCACAAAAATTTGTATTAGAATAAAAAAATCTCATCTAGAATTTTGCCACATATTTAAGAAATCTAGTTTGTTTCAACAATTAACTTATTTTTTTGTAATTCATGTTTAAATGATAAAATCCTAAATTCATATTTTTCATTATTTCAGATAGAAATAAAACTAAAAAAGGCTGAAGGTTTGAGGTGGGAAAAACTTGAAGGTGATCCAATAGCAGAAAATATAAAAGCTGTTCCTGCCGGTAAGTTAAAGAAAAACACAAGTTATAAAACAGCATTCTTGGGGGCACTTATGCACAAAAATATTACCCTTGCATTTGGTTTCGTCAACTATCCCTAACACTTAAATGATCAGATATAAACCACCCAATACTTTATTCAACTCAAATATCTTTCTTCAACAAAAACGTTTTTAAAAAGATTTATTTTTGAGAAAGACCAAATACAATGATGTCAATTGAATGAGTTCTGAATCGAGACTGACTGCAAAGTTCATTATACAAACCAAAGTAAAGAACAAATGAAATACAATACTGTAACTGATAAGAAAGGAACGTGGAGGCAAAAGTCCTTGTTCAGCATATTCTTCTCTGTAGACTGGTACATAACTTTCATAAACATTGAGAGATTTTGCCGTCAATACAGGGTTTCCCACAAAGTAGGCATTACACAATTACGAAAATTTTAGAATTTGGTAAAATTAATAGGTGCAATTTGACTTTTTTTATATTTTAGATTATTTGATTGTCTGCTTTGAGTAAAAAGTAGGTATTTAATACATATACGTATATGGTTTTAGCCAGAACATCATGAGTTCTATCAATATTAATGACTTATTTAGAATTGTATATAGAATTCAAAAACTAGATAATATACTGGATGTCTTGTTTAAAATGAGCAAATTGGTCTCAACTTCCAGTATAATCTTAAGTGCCACTATTTTGAAAATGGTTTAGCCGAATTGCTCATAACAATAGTATGATATATCCCCGAATATTATCATAGTCAAAAATACTGACAATTTCACTTGCATATATAATAGTATCACTTGTATCTTTCACAAATCTGAAAGAATTTTTCCTATAACTAAAAACTTGAGGAAGTTATGACATTTCCTGTGTTGGGTGCTGTAGTTGACCACCCTCGCGCGTCGAGCTTAGGTCGTGACATCACATCACATAAGTTCGGCTGTAAGGCCACAGCACTGACGCGGACGGACGACGCGACAGCCTTGCACACACACACACACACACACATATATATATATATATATATATATATATATATATATATATATATATATACCATGTATCCAGCATTCACCAGGTTACTGGGTGTATCCCTCAACCAAAACGTTAATAACATTTAGCAACAACCTATAGTTGCTAATTCTTCTAAATGTTATTGCAGCTCCTGATGAAGATGGCAAAGTCCATTGAAAGCTAGAGATTAATAAAGTATAGAGTCCTCTTTGCTTGAATTTTGTCGAAGTACCCAACAAAAGGCGGAAGATTTATTTTTTCACCTAACTGGTCTAAATGACAATGACCACATCTCAAGTTATATATATATATATATATACAGGGTGACTTTGAAGTTGAGTCATTAATTTTCAGATAATGTTTGTAGAAGGAAGATAAACCAAAATATGTGTGTAAAAATAAAAAAAAATTTTTACCTTGTTTTATAAAGTATCCTCCCGACAAGTATTTCAGTGCGGACCTGTATTTGATCGTGAGGTCCCCTGTGAGGTCTTAAGTCACCTGATTCACAAGCCCGTTGTACTACATTAACAAAGGCACGAGGGGTTGGTTGCACTCGATTGGGAAACCGATCCGCATAAACATGTGCCATTTTTTATTTCGTTTGAGCCACGCAACACATACCACTATTCACTGACACTAACTGTATACAAATGAATGAGATACCTGTAAAAACATCGTTCCAAATTCTTTCGCTTTTTTGTTTCCGATGCGATGAACCGATACGGCGGATTATATCCATTGTCGCCAAACACGACCACATAATATTGTTATTGAGACAGGGCGGTACTCAAACTTCCAAAGGGCTATAACTTTGTTACTTTAATTTTACCAGGAAAATGGTAAAGGAAAAAACATTTCTTTTGATCAGATCTACTCACTGTTAAAATAAATGACTCAACTTCGAAGTCACCCTGTATATATATATATTTCACTTTACTTAGACCATCAAGGAAAAAATAGGAAACGTCCTCATTGTCTAACACCAACTTTTTGAAAAATCAATCGGTGCAGGGATGCGAATATGTGGTTTGCGTGTCTTTCATTTTATAGCTTTTCTCACAAGTTCTGAGCACATGGGTTAAGACCCCGGATCGTCTTTCATGTCGTCGTCACATTCTTTTATTGATTACGCGATGGCGGAAATTATAGAAAATAAAGGTTCGGTAACTAAAAATTTGGAATGCTTTTCCAAAGGATATCGCAGCCACTGATTAATTATTGTATGTGGATAATTGGGTATAATATTCCAACAACTGAACGTATTTACGTTTTTTGTAGACCCAACATCTAAACTTGACGGTCCACCATCTTATCCAACTTCGAAAAAAGGAAAAGATTGGGCTGTAGTAGAGAAAGAGATAAAAAAACAAGAAGCAGAAGAAAAGCCAGAGGGAGAAGAAGCCCTAAATAAACTGTTTCAGGAAATTTATGGTAAAGGCAGTGATGAGGTGAAAAGGGCTATGAATAAAAGCTATGTAAGTTTTATTTTATCTACATTTTCCAATTCATTCATTCATTCATTCTATTTTGGGAAAAGTCTGTTGAGGTGAATAAAGTGTTTCAATCTGAAACTTTGTTACTCATAAATAGGTTTTTGCAAAAACTAGTGGCATAAATGTTTTTATCAAAAAGTCACTGCTGCACCTCATGTTTATAAGAGTTTTCTTATTTATCTTTACATGTTGAATTTGACATTAAATTTACAACACTATATGTCAGTATGTATTGGAAATAGACACCGATTTTTAGATGGAAAGTGGCGGCACTGTGCTGAGCACAAACTGGGACGAAATATGTAGGAGAAAAGTTGACGTAAAGCCACCAGATGGTTGTGAATTTAAAAAATGGAATTAATTGCGTCCTCGTTTATTATATATTATTATAAATTATCTATTAGTTTCGATTACAACACACTTCTTTCAATACATGTATTTTCTTGAAATAAAGCTCTAAACAAAAATATATCTTCATTTATTATATAGTTATTCTATATGTGAAATATACAGTAAAATGTTCTATAATAGTAAAACAGTGAGAGTTGTGATACCAAGAAACATCAATATGTAGGTAACATACATTATTAGATATTCACAAATTCTGTGCAGTCTTCTGCTAATCTCAATTATATATTTAAAGATAGATAAAATTAATCATCAACAGTTACATCATTTCGTTCATCTTAAGTACTCACTTGTATTGAGAACTGTAGGAATGTAGTTGATCAAATTTTGGCACGTTTATCTTGGCCATACCCTTAATACATTGTATACCACAGTAGGATAGAAACCAGTATAGAGTGACCAGAAAATCAGTCATAAGTAGCGGATATCTATTGCGAGGCTCAAATGCATTGGTTTAATGGAAACCAGCTTTTTAGGGTATTCACTGCCTCAAAGATATGACGTCAAGAATCACCGACTGCTTTTTTAAGACTACGACAGTATCAGATTAACTTCTATATATTTACAGCAGAATTTTGAGATGTATTAAGAGGAAAAATAATTAATGCGTATTTTGTATATTCTAAAAAATGAATCAAGAAATTAATTCATATTGATATTAACGAAATGGCTGTGAATACAGAAAACAATAGATAATAAAGGGTGATCCATCTGTTCGTTAATTTTTAAATCGATGGTTAAAATGAAAACGCAGGTTTTTTTTATTTGAGAGTACTATCCTTCCGGTTAATGATAAAACACGATCTGATTCATACGCGCGCCACGGCTGAGCTTGACCTAGCCGATTCTGTCGACCCAATTTTTCAGTACATTTTCCAAAGTGTGCGGCAGTCTCTCACCGATGGCTGAATGAATGTTGGTCTTCAAGTGCTCTATCGTCGCGGAGGTATCCGCATATCATTTACCTTTTACGCTTCCCCACAAAAAATAATCCAACGGAGTTAAATCGCAGCTTCGCCGTGGCCAAGTCACAGCACCGAAACGGCTAATTACGCGATTCTTGAAGAAGAGCTATTGTTTCGTGGCTGGTGTGGCAGGTCTCGCCGTCTTGCTGGAACCACACTCTATCCAAGTCTTTTTATCGGTTTTCGGAAAGAAATAGTTAGTCAGCATGCTTCGATGGCGCACACCAATGACCGTGACGGCGCGTCCTTGGTCATCTTAGAAAAAAAGGGCCAATAATGCCACCAGACCACAAACCACACCAATCAGTCACGCGTTGCGGATGCATTGGCTTCTAGGTAATTTCATTCGGCCATTCTGAGCACCAAATATGGCAATTTTGCTTATTGACGAAGCCACCAAGATGAAAATGGGCCTCAACCGAAAAATGATTATTCGGTAAAAATGATTTTTCGGTAAAAAAGGTGGTCCTCGTCAAAGCGTCCATTTTTGAGCGCTTCCTAACGTTGTTCAAGCATATATCGATTATTGGTCAACCGCAGACTCTTCACTAAGTGCCTGTCGAAACAGAACTGATGTAAGTGTTGTCAACTTCAAAAATTAACCAACAGATGAGTTACCTTTTGTTATGTATAAACAGGATACAGACCAGCAACTAATACAAGATCTATTACCAAAAAAAAAACTCCAAAAACTTTCTAACTCCGCGTTCTAGCATGTTCAGAAACTGTCGAATTTTCTGCTGTTTTTGTTTTATTAACTTATGTTATAATTGGAAAATCATAGATGATAAGACCTCTGTTTTCTCGACTTTTGGGCATATTCATAATAGCATTAGTAATCTTAAAATAGCCTTAAGTGATTTGAGAAAATAATTTGTGAATTGGTTGTTAATACAAACCACTCTAGCATAAAAATATGAATTTGAATAGAATTGAATTGCGAAAATGCTAAGAATACCAAATCAAAACTAGCATTTAACAATTTGTGCATTAGAAATGGTTATCATTTTTTGATTTATTTTCACATTTTTTAAATATCAGATCCATATTACTCCTACTATAAATTGAATCTTTCCCAAAGATTGTCGTTTAATATTATTTGTTTTGAAGTTGCCCATTTCATAATAGTAAACTTATGTAAGTTAAGCCGATACAACATATTTACTACCTAAATCTCTATGTAAACATAGCTACATTTTACATATATTGTCAGAAAAGAACTACAATATACATTATATAGTTGATATATCCAGTGATTTTAATGTATATAACGCCATGTGCACCTTGTAAGCAAACAAAATCGTGTGTTTAATTTTACTATGTTTTATTGTGACATATATTTTTCTGACAAGCGCGAGCATTTGTACCTCCCCATTATCTAAACAGGGTGATTCAAAAAAATAGTCACAATGTTTCTAGAGTAGAAACTACATCCAAACCACCAGAAAGTTCCTATCAAGAAGGCCCGAAAAAGTACCATTACAAAGAAACGTGTTGTGAACAAAAATATTATTCAAATAACCTTTTGGATACTATACTACATATGATCATCATAAAACTTCAAGAGCTTTAACTTATTTTCAAAGTATAATGAATTAAAGATTTTGATACGGATTTTCCTTCAGTTAGACATTGTGTCTCAGAATGAGATTTCAATTTCTTGGAAGCATATGGAACAGAAAAAATAATTCCACAGTGTCTTATAAAAAATGTCCTTCAAAGCTCTCCCACGATAAAACAGGCCTCTGAATGGTCTCGATGGAAATCAAGTTTTCTTAACTAATATTGTAAACACTGTAATTTAACAAAACTTGGACAGCATAGCAACCAACTAGAACCTCATTCGACAGTGTACATTAAAAATAGTTAACTCATTTAAATAACCAATATTTACAAAAACGATGTAGGGTGCACTGCTAACCATAACAATCTTACTAACAGATTATGGTTATACAATATAATAAAGTACATGTAGAGAACAGATTTGTTGAAATGTAGCTAATTTACAAAATATACTGGCATAATTTATTGTCATCAATACTGCCGTAACACAATACAAACAATATAGTAAACATAACACTCTTAACTCTAAATACTCGAAACTTAAACATTGACTTAATTTCGAAACCCGCATCATTGTCATATGACTTTAACAAAAACATTCAAAAACAGTAGTGACAGAATTTAAATGCGTTATTTTTTTAATATATCCATTGTAATGTAACCTTAACATAGTTAAACATGAGTTCTTAATGTCATCTCGAACTGCAAATTAAGTACAATGTTAACAACATGTTACATTTGACAATTATGGGCAATCACATCAGTCAAACATGTGAAATGTCATTCAGCACTCGAAGTCCAGTGTGGGAAAGTTCACATTTCAAATTTGAATTACGCGGCAAATGTATACGCGAGGAAGTGACTATGGAACGTTGGACCGGAGCGCAATGTGCTTTTGCTATCGAGGCTTTCTTTAAGAGTGGTGATTCAAACGCAGCTGCTCTTCGGATATTTTGTACAAGATACAACATTCGCCGACTAAGAGATGCCCCAAGTAAGAACCTACACTAAGAGGTCCGGTGATACAGGCTCTACTCTTAGTCAATCCATTCCTGGCCCCACACCTACTGTATAAACCGAAGTAAGTAAATGATTCGGTCATTGCAAATCCTCGGCGTTCTGTACGGAGGCATTCCGCTGCTTGGCAATCCCTAGGTCAACACTGTATGGCATAATGAAGAAGAAAATGGGTTTTCATCCTTATAAAATCCAGTCAGTCCATGCTTTAAAGTTAAAGGAAAGTGATTACGTATTACGGAAATCTTGTGCTGGACGGTTATGTGAACAAACAGAATTGCAGATATTGGTCACCAACGAATCCAAAAGAGAAACATCAACAACCGCTAGTCAAGGTGACTATTTGGTGCGCCATATCCTCCAGCGGTATTATTATGCCGTATTTCTTTGAAGATGAACAAATTGATAGCCAATTCCGAGCGATACAAGGACATGATTGACACTTTTTTTGCTCATATTGTAAGAACAGATCGTCGATTTAACATGGTTTCAACAGGATGGGGCCACTGCCCATACTTTCAGAGAATCGATGGACATGGTGAAAGCACTTTTTCCTCAAAATGTTATACCGAAGTTTGGAGACATTCACTGGCCTCCTACGTCACCCGGCATTTTTTGTGGGGTTATCTAAAGTCAAAAGTGTATTTCAATAATCCACGAACACTGGAAGAGCTTAAAGACAACATTCGACGAGAAATAAACATCACTCCGGAACTCTGCATCAGAGTGTTTCAGAATTTGTGCGCGCGATTAGTATGTCCGAAGGGATGTAAACATTTAAACGGAATGATATTTAAGAAATAAAACCCGCCGAATTTACGAATATGTTGTTAGTAATAAATATTTTCTTTTCATCAAGTTTGTATTTTTTTTTCTTAAATCAAGAAGTTAACTTTCCCAATGGACACCCTGTAATTGTTAGCATTTTGCAACAACCCCTTGTATCATAATTAATATTACTTTGCATTGGATACAAATGTTTTAAATCATTCCAAACTATCATTGGATGTAGTATATATACATTATACGTTGCAATAACCTTAAACGAATTTTTTGCAAGATAAGCATGAAGCATAGTTAATTTTGGTAACCATACGTACCATACCAACTAGCTACTTATTCTAAGATAGTTGGGACATATTGTCTGTCTAATGGAAAACTGAAATATAGAGCGTTTTACCGCAAAACCGACAACTAGGGTTCTATTTGTAAAATAGAAGATCTGTTGATTGAAGAGTCGATGAGTAAAAAATAATACTCAACACATAAAGCAGCTTTTGACAAGATATATTGTAATATAATCACCCAAAATCATCTATTGTTACAGTACTTATAATTATATATATATAAATCATTTCAGATGAAGTTGACACCTAATACTGTTTTTGAACATACTATCACTTAAATTATGCCCCATATTTTCTCACTATATTTCTGATTAAATCTACTGAACTATATAACTAAGCTTATCACAATCATATTATGAGGAATACCATATATCTTTAAACAGATCCTTCACTTCATTAGAGAATCGATCTCCCATTAATACTTGGGCGAAAATGTCATGGACAACCCCTGAATCTTTTGCTCAGTTTTTCAAGGTTGAATGCTGCTGCTCAGTGTTATATGTTTTTTGAGTTGCTAGAACCCTGACCTCCATTCAATTGATGACCATGCAAAGTTGGCATATGTTCTTTATCTCGATCAGTCTGTTTCTGAGTTTTGTTTCCTGGAAATATTACGAAAATATTCGTCGAGTCCAAATCCTTGGATCATTAGTTGGCAATGTCAACTAGAACTTGGGAATTTAAAAATCAATCCATGAAATTACTGTTGAGGGAAACTTATAACCTTTTACTTTAATTTTCGATAGTTCCAGTCACAATTTCAGCCACTATTTAGCGGATTTCCAAGGCCAGCCAACGTTGAAGGGAAGTCAACGCAAAATGAGCTGATGATGCTTGGTTAAACTTGATTCAGAAGTTTAATCTCAGAGTAACATTAAAAGCATGGAATATTTTAAAATAAATTTAATTTTGAAGAATACCAATATAAGTGTCACATGGGGAAATTTCATTGTCAAAACAAAAATAAGCAGCAGCATAAACTCGATTACGACACCCATTATGCTATAACTTCTGTGTTTGTGCTGACAGATCCGTTCTTCACAATGTTCGGACCATTTCTAGATGGAGACCCATCATTCATGAGTTCTTCTTGCTCTGGAGTGGACGGTAACCCATTGGCGTAGTTCCAGGGCTGAGTCTAAAATATTCAGGTAATTACATACACTTGGGCAACTTGTAATGCAAAGCAAGAAGGGAAGCCAAAGGGAAATAGGTCCACTCTTATAAGAATAACGCTAAATTATGCATCAAGAATGTGCAAACTTTAGACTCAAATATTTTTATTAGGTGTACCGTAAAATTTTTTGTCGATTCCGATATCAACAATTTTCGAGAGATATGCGCATCTCAATTTGAAGGATATCTGGGCGAATCTTTCTAACACAAAATATGTACACGCTGGTCTTGCAATTGAACTGCAATAGCGGAAACATTTAAGTTAGGATTTAGAGAGACGCGATAGTGTATCCATTCCAGCCACTGTATTTTGTTCGAATTCAGTTGTTTCAATGTATTATTGAGATATTGGAGTTTTCTAACTAGGATAATCCATACATCATTCATATGAAACTTCTTATTTTCCCGTTTTGTTCCAATCTGTACCAGATACAAACTGATAGTAATGAGAAGTTGCTTCAAATATTGGGTACACCCTCTTGTTTTTGACATATTTGGGTTGAAGGTGCTTTCCGTATTGGTGTAAGTTTATCAAAGAAATTCTGAAAATATCACATCTTTGCTAAAACCCAACTAAACTTACCTCAGCTGTTCCCCAGATTTGGTATACAATATAAGTAGAAATGGCTACAAAACTCGTAAGGTAAAACACGTATCTCCAAGATGACATTAAGTGTTCCTTTTCATCCAGAATGTGGAACGCTACCAATGGACTGATGAAACTGGCCGACATGTGGATGGTTTGGGCGAACGCCAGTACTGGTCCCGCGAAATTTGGAGCTGAAAAATCAACATAATCAAATATAGGCACTTTCACAAATAGGGTATTCTATATTTATAATACAAAGAAATTTTTGCAGAGGGGTAATCAAGGAAAACAATGAGCTCACTTAGATCGACCGAGTCCGATTAGCAATACCGTAATACCTAATTTTTTTACAGAGAAAAATAGAAAAAAAACTGGAGAGCCTCACCCTTTAGCTGAAAAAATGTATTGTTTGATCCCCTTTAAAATAAATCGTTTCTGGGGAAAACAGTCTTCATTCCTAAATGGCGTAAACTATCATAATTAATAAAACCGTATAGAAAAAAAACTGTTTCCTCAAGAAAAGCTCATTTTATGATAATAAACGAGAATCAGCAACAGGATAAATTTTTCCAAAAATCATCATTATCAGGTTGTTGAAAAAATAGCAATTTTATATTAGAGCTAGTCTCTCTACGGGTATAAGTGAATCCTGTGGGCATCATCATGAGAGAGCTTAGCTGGGTACAACTTTGTAAAAATTTTACTGCATTAGTATCGTAAAAACCGATTTCCAGTATACCTGCAGGATAGTCCCATATGACATTATTTTTTGTGCCCTATCAGCATCTGCGAGAATGGTTAGTGATACTGGGAAATCCTGTACATTTCAATCACTAATTGGAAAAATAACTCTCATGGCATCTTAGAGCTTGATTGCAACACATTAGGCAATGCCAAAAACCAGCATGATATAAAAGTTAGGCACAGGGTAATGTCGCAGCGCAATGGCAGTCGGTCTTTCTGGACGCTGGCCAAGCAGATTGAAAAGAACTTCTCACACAGTAGCCTTCCACCACTTACGTGTCAGGATGGAACTATTGTATTCAACTCAAAGGCCAAGGCGGAAGTGCTAGCCAAGATCTTTGCTGCCAACTCCACCATGGACGTCCCCCCCAACGCCCAAGTGCCGTCAATTCAAAGGGTTCCCTACACTATGCGGGAAGTAACGTTCAGGCATAAGACCGTAAGACGAGTGCTCTTGTCGCTCGACATCAACAAAGCTTCTGGTCCGGATTTGATTCCTGCCATTGTAATGAAGAGGTGTGCACCGGAGCTTGCTCCAGTTCTTTCGCGTCTCTTCCAGATATCTTATGAATCCGGCACCTTCCCAGAAAACTGGAAATTTGCTCATGTCCAACCCATCACAAAAAAGAGATCTAAGACCGACCCTTACAACTACAGGCCTATAGCTCTGCTTTCTGTTTTAAGTAAGGTGATGGAGAGAATCGCGAGCTTCTGGACTACCTCGAACGTCACGGCTTGATTAGCGACAGGCAGTATGGTTTCCGGCACCAACGATCCACAGGGGACCTCCTAGCTTACGTCACTCAATTGTGGAGTAAACTCATCCAGTCTTATGGTGAGGCTCATGTCGTTGCTCTTGACATCACGAAAGCGTTCGATCAGCTGTGGCACGCTGCCCTCTTAAGCAAACTTCCATCCTATGGCCTCCCAGAAAAGCTTTGCAGATGGGTGGCTGACTTTATCTCTGGCCGCAAGATATCCGTCGTATCTGACGGGTTCTCCTCTTCATCCCACAACGTCAACGCGGGTGTTCCCCAGGGATCGGTCTTGGCTCCGACACTGTTTCTCTTACATATCAACGACCTCCTTTCCTGCACGATCAACCCAATCCACAGCTTTGCTGATGACAGCACTCTACATGCAGGAATTCAGAGTGACAAGCCGATCTCTGCCGCTGAGTTGGAAAAAAGAAGACTAGCGATGACTTCCTCTCTGACAAGAGATCTGGAGGCTATCACTCCTTGGGGACGCAACAATCTTATACAGTTCAATGCTTCCAAAACGCAGTACTGTACTTTGACGAACAAAAAGCGTCCCTGCGCTCACCCGGTTTCGATGGATGGTCGAGTTCTGCCAAAGAGCCATTCCTTTCGGCTGGTCGGAGTCCAGATCACCGAGGACCTGATCTGGCACGAACACATCTCGTCAATAGCAGCAGCTGCTGGGAAAAAGCTAGGCTACTTGCTTAGGGCTAAGAAGTACTTTTTCCGCATGACTTTCTCACTCTATACAAGGCCCAGATAAGGCCTAGCCTCGAGTATTGCTCACACGTTTGAGATGCTGCCACCTCGACTACATTATCCATGCTCGATGCTGTCCAGAGGAGGGCGGTCCGACTGATCGATGACTCTTCTCTAACAGACAGTCTCGGGACTCTTTCGCGGGCTGTCGGTGATCTGGCTCTTTTCTACCGTTACACCAACGGGCTTTGCTCCTCAGAGCTCTCTTCCATGGTGCCGTCGCGCGATGTGCCTGTCAGACAGACCCGCCTAACTTTGGCGTCCCATCCTAACCGTGTCGAACTTCGTACATCCAGAACCGGCCGATACGACCGCTCCTTTGTCCCGAGGGTATCGAGATTGTGGAACAATCTACAAGAGGAAGCTTTTCCCAGTTCTATTAACCTTAGGCGTTTCAAAAATCGTATTAATAAAATTTCTTTGGGATCATCATAGCAGCCGCGGTGTTCCGGCATTTAGGCTTCTGCCTGCGCGGCTGCTTCGATATAAAAAAAAGAAAAAAAAACAGTGAAATAAAACAATGTTTGTGATGATGAAGTTTTACAAAGTTGTGTTGTGCAGCTCATATTTTCATTTTTAGTAAAATCAGTAAATGCAACGATTTTCCAGTTTTATTGACTGACATAATAGTAAAAATCAGCAAACTGTATGTAAAACTTACCAATATCAACAACATTTGCCATGGCGCCAGCATACGCAGCGGTGATGAGGGTCACAGCAAAGAACCAAACAACAAGGACTAATTCAATGTCACATCCCAAATAACTTATAAGAAGGACTAAGATACCAGGTACAACTTGAGCTGAAAAAAAAAATACTTCAAAATACTAACACATCACATAAAGTATATTTTTACCACGACAAAATAAAAAAAATAAGGCTGATTTCAAATGTGTTAGGTAAATTAATTTCGGTTCACTTAAATGTTAGTGGCAAAAATTACCTAAGGCAGTCATGAGTTTTCTAACGTTGGTCAAGGTCATCAAATGCATGGTGACTAACTTGTCAGCAATATAACAGAAAAATACCGATGCAATGTAACTGCAGAGAAAAGGCATTCCCGACAATAATCCATTCTGTAATACAAATAGAAAAAATTATCGTACGTTCAAGTGAACCACAAAATTATTAGCAAAATGTCACCTTTTCAATGCTGAATCCTAAAATACTCTTCATATATGTAGGTCCAGAAATGATAAATGTATAATGTACCCAGATTCGTCCGAATGTAGTGATTCCAATAGACCAAGCAGGCATAGATGAGAAAATAGCCTTCCATGGTACTTCCGCTGTTCTTACATTAGCGTAGGTGTTTTCCTGGAGAACGACATTTCATAAGACTAAAGAAGAACCGTTCTCAGCAAAAGCAACTCAAATACAGAAGTTCTCACAAAAGAGATAGCAACGCGGGCGATTATTCAGCGATCATGGTAGTGCCGTCGCTATTCCGTTTGCAGTTGCAGATGTCATGTTACAATCGTATTCTAAAAAAAATCAATGATAATACGATACAAGTACATATCCTTCGAGTTTTTATATTCTCAGAAGTGTTTCAGTTGGAGCACCAGTGCTGAAAATCTTCCAGGACTTTCAAGAACCAAACTAAACTATATCCTGTCTTCTTATTATCTAGTTGAAATATGATTAGTGGCTCATCAAGAACCTCAAAACGAAACGTCTAGTTGCTTGGCAGTTGCTTCCGTGTGATCGCAGAAGCAATTTAACGTCTCATGTCCCTTTTTTCAACAGCCTGTCTGGAGGAGTATTCTGAATAATTTTCATCCGATTGTTTCATGGTGTGTTTAGGTTTGACGAAGAACAGCGTTTTCCGTTTCTTTTTTTTATCAAAAACGGCATTTTTTTAGTGCATTTTTTTCTTCAAACGTAACTGTATATAAAATTGTTTGTGGATATTCCACTTTTATGGAAGAATTGAGCGGGAGATTACATTTTCTTATCACTTTCCCTAATAAAAAATCTTTGCTTTTCCTTGAAACTCAATTTACTGTAAAATGATGTATCAAAAATTCAAAGATTTTTTGAAAAGAAAAAGTGATAAGAATAAAGTAAAAGTACAAAGTGGAATTTTGACATAGAATTTCAGAGCTGTACTAATATTTGTTAACAAGTGACAATTGAAGAAAAAATGCAAAAATGCATTTTATGACCAAAAAAATTGATAACATTATTTTTCAGTCGTCTATATACGCAACACGAAATAATCGGATGAAAGGGATTTAGAATACAGCTCCAAAAAGGCAGTTGAAAGAAGGGATATGCGAGCTTAACCAAAATTCAAAATCAAGTTGAAGTCGGGCTGACGTCAGGTTGTTTTGGGTGAGAACAGTGCCTAAGATTTAAAGTACGTCATAAAACTATCTTATGATGACAAGACCCATCCTTACACTATAGGCAGCTAAGCATATATCCACAATGTAAATGGGCATATATGTCTACTTTTAGTTGATATTAAAAGCCGTTTTCAAACATTATGTCGATTATTGGGATATTCAAGAAGGAACTACATAAGGAGCTATACTCAAAATATTTCTGAATCCTTCTAAAATATATGGCACTATAAAGTTCCATTGTCAAATTGACACAATGAAATTAACAGGTTGCAATTTTAAAATAAGTTATTATTTGCCTAGGTGTTTTCTGCTTTCATTATTGACCTAGGGAGAGAAATGCTACTTCTCAATAAGGCATTGTAGTCAGTATTGGTGATTTCTCAGGTTAAAAGTGAAAATCATATATTTCAAAAACCGCTTTTCGTTCATTGCCAGCAGAACGCGAAAACAGTGAGTGTCTTCTCATTTATTTAGATAGCAAGTTGAAACTCGGGACGATGAAATGATTTTTTGAAAACTATGTGGCTGGGCGTCAATTTTTTTTCAATAGATTGAGGGGTCATATGATACATTATCTTGGAGGCACTTCCTAGATTATAAGGTTTACTATATTTATTTGTACATTGATTCGCTTATAACTCACCAACTGATCAGCAAAATGCTATCAACATGTTATCAAAATTTGAAATATACTTTTTTTATGGAATATAGAATATTTAAAAGCCGTATTCGTAAAAACCCTTCTAAAAGGTGAATCTTTTTATAACATACTATAGATTATTAGATATGCTAGGGGTTTTGATGACCAACTATAAGCGGGTAACTGCACAAACATGCTCAACCTTATATTCTAATGTTTAATCACAGCTCGATGTGAAGGGGCGTCCCGAGCGTTGGTCATTTTTTTCAAGCCCTTGTTGACGGTTCGTTCCTTCAGAGAATTGTCTCCGTAAACTTCAAACACTCAAAAATCTCACGACCATTTTGCCTTGCTTTGCAAGAAACTTGTTGATGCGCTGTTCCTCGATCAGAGAGAGCTCCATACCGACGGCAGGTAAAAGTGGTTACTTTCAAGAAGCACACGTAAATCCTACTTACAGAGCTTTGTGCAAAAATTCTTGGCGCAATTCAACGATTCGAGACGATTCCATAATCACCATTCTTTTATCTAATTTTTTGTATTGAAAACCACACAGTTTTACAATACAGTGCAGTGAGTCTAAGCATTTGTAATTATAAAAATCTTCAGGATAATCTTTTAATTTATCCCGTATCATTTCCAACGTGGGCACCAAATTTTCTTTATAAAATCCGTATATTATACGACGAATATCTTCCTGAAAACCCACGTCTATTCTTTTTAATTTTTGCCCTATGCGCTTTCTGTGGAAGGAATGGTTGACCACATCTCCCGTTTTTATAACCCGATAAATGGTAGACCGACTGATTTTTGTCAGGATACAAATTCTGTTTAAAATTTGATTTTGCGAGGAATCTGGATTTTCGTTTTTCAGACAATCATACATATTTAGGATTACTCTTTGGGTCTGTTCCTCTAAATCTTTATGAAAGAATTCTGCCTGCACAGGTTCATCAACCATCTCCTCGTGGCTTGGAGCATTTTCCCAAGGTCTCCAAAGAGCCATATTTAGGACACACAAGAACAATCAACACAACAATTAAATCAACAAGTAAACTGAGTATTCAAAAGCCAAAAACACACAAACTAATAAAATCTATGAAAAAACACGGACAGACTAAAGAAAACACGTTTATTCACCGCTACACGGCACTGGCTAAACTGTTTCAATTTTCAGTAGCCACCTGCACTTGTTCAGAGCTCTGAAATACACGCTTTCTCATTGGCTACGTCCACGCATAGGCGTGCTTTACTCCACGTGGACCGGTGAAACTGCCTTTGATCTTATACGGGGGATATTTGCTGCGAAATTTTGCGATTTTTGCAGCAACAGAGCGTGTTAAATATAGATATATAAAACGCACCCGGTATTTCACAGTGTTTCAAGTGACTTCAGATAAAGTATACCTGGCACTCTCTTAACGAGATGTTTTGAAAACTCGCATACGCGATACTCGTATACCAGCTCATATCAAATTTTCTCGCCATCGCTTTGGCAGTTATTTTTATCCATGCAAACAAACACGTCGTTTTACAGGTCTTATAGAATAGACGTTTAAGGAGCAAATGGCCATCAATTTCTTGTATAAAATTTCACTTACAGTATTCTCTTTGATGTACTGTTGTTCCCTGAGACTGATTCTTGGATGAGTTTCTGGACTATCAAATGCCAATAAGTACCATATCAGACACCACAATATTCCTATAGATCCGGTTGTATAGAAAACGGATCTCCAACCTAAGTGAGCAATCAAGAATCCAGCTAGAGGGTATGTGATGCCAATACCAATACTGAAGCCTGGAATAAAAGGCATGAGAAATACTGAAATCAGAAACATCATGCTAACCAATTGCATAATAATTAGAACGGGTATTTTATTAAAGCGATGGGTGGGTCGATTACGGATAATAGTGAAACTGAATAAAAATCTTTTACAGAGCTCTCCGATAGAGGTAACGACTAAAATTAACTATCTTATAAAGGGTATTCCAACAGTTACTTGAGAATTTTAATTTCAAATAAACCCAAAGAAAAATGTCATGCTTCATTATACTAAGGGAATATACAAGTATAGAACTTGGGAATTACGGTTAATGTATCGTCTGAAATTTATCCTATGGTTTTTATGCTGATAATCCTCCATGGCACAACGGTGGCCTTTCTCAAGTATAATATATGCTAGCATGAAGGATTATGGGAATCATAATTTATCCATAATATCTAAATGCACTCCTCAGCTGTTTCTAAAGATAAGCATTATTCGACTAAAATTCTCAGTAAACTTTTGACACAATGGACACATGATTTTACTAACAACTTAAGAAATGTTTTGGTCCAGGTCATTAATCGCCTGCTGGCCGTTTGAATCAATGATTTCGAACTATGCATACACTATAGCCCCACAAAAATATCAAACGAGGCTAGATTATAACATGATCTCAAAAGCCCGTGGAAATTATGCTGCCGTCAGGCAAACGTTTGTGTCGCAATACGACAGTTTCTGTCACTACACAATACGTATCTTGCTGAAACAACGTATGCTAGATATTATCCAACTGTGGGCATGAAAAATCCATATTTGCAATAACAATATCGTAATTTTTAAGAAAAATGAGAGTAAACCTTCCTGATATGTTTGCACATTCAATTTGAAAAGATTAACTACATATAGAGACACTTCAATACCTTGTTTTTTACGGAACCGCGTGTTCGACTTTTTTGAAAACCTACCCTGAAAACTGGACATAAATCTGCTTCTTTCTGGTACAGGGATCCAGTGACCTACTAGTGCATACATAGCTGGCCAAGTCAAACCCTAGAATAAAATAAATGTTAAGATACATATTTTTATTATTGTGGGTGATATTGAATCTATATATAATAATGGAAACTATTTGAAACTTGACGGTCTTGTAGTACTAATAAGAATTAGCATGATACAGAACTCTGAAAGGTATCACACAAGCAACGGCTTATCTTATCTATGGCTGAAGGCCCTACGACGCAGCTAATAGCAGTTTGAGAGGAGGGTGAGGGGTTTCAGGAGCACCACGATTATCAACACACACATTTTCTCTACTCAGATCCCTTGGGACCGCGTTGTGGGCCCCCTTGTCTCCTGGGGCCCAAGACGCAATATAGATAATCTTAGATCTACTCTCGGTCACTTGAGTAAATGTAGGAAAATATATTCTCACAAAAATTGGATGGAATACTTTGTAGTTGCTTAAAATGCAAATTTTGTATGGTCCTCATCATTGTCACAGAAATGCAAAATTAAAGCGCTGGTGACTGTCAGCCATAATATAACACTCGTGAACGCCTTCATTTTACTATGTACGAGTACTAACTAACATTGCGAGACGAACATTTTACTCCTGTAAAAATTAACAGGAAAAACTTTTGGCCAACCGTAATACCCTTCTCAATTAACAAAGCAAAAAAACATTTAATCTGCCTATTCAATAAGTCGTAAGTAAACTCACCGAAGCGAAACCTTGAGCGAACCTAAGCGCAATGACAAGCCCCCAATGCACGTCACTAGCTGTCGGGATACACAAACTGCACATTGCCGTCACCAGCTGGGCATAACCAAACACCCTCTTGGTCCCAAGGCGTTGGGTTGCTAGGCCGCCTACTATCTGGGACACTATGTACGCCCAATAGAACGATGATAAGATGTAGCTCTGGATTCGGCCGGACCATTGGAGCGTGCCCCCATAGTCCTGGTGAAGATACCAATAACAATTCATGAGATCACAACGATGAATTAATTGAACCTCACTCAAGAGATAGATATAAAAAATGGGGTAAACATATGGCGAGTGCTTCTCAAACATTGGTGATATTTTGCCTAATGCACACACACTCAAATTGTGAACGTCATTCATAAATGTGTTTGCAGCTACACCAAAATTGGTGGTGGATTTGACTAATGTTACAAAATTGTTTTTTACCATTGTAAATAGACAGAAATTTGTTATTAGAGATTACCCGGACTTACGGACCATCTGAAATTAGTGTTTTTTTGCACCACAAAATAGACCACAAAAATCATGGGGGTGGTATTGTCAGACTTTATAAGTATGACGTTTTCAGAAGCGTAAATGCTCAAAATGACGTACAAAATTGCAACTTCAACAACGTTTTAAGTGATGGACATTTTAGTAATGATTCACGAGCTTTTCCTCAGTGTTTCGAACCACAAGAAATATTGAAAGGAATGTGAATTCGGCCTCCGACAACAAGCTGTTTCATTATTTTCTGAGGGAATTTACATAGCTTTATATTTCAAACTTGAAGAAAACAATATAACTTTTACGAATCTGCTAAACTGGGGAGTTTCAAACAGATTCGCATAAACTTTGTTTACCCCTCAGTAAGTAAAACAGCGGGAAAATAATTTCGTGTATCTACTAGTTTAAAAAAATCACACACATATCGCACTGCGAGAAAAAGATAAAAATGACATGGTGTTTCTGGGTTCGTAGATGGAAGTAATGAATCCCACAGATCAAGCCCTAATCAATACTTTATCACCATTAAAACTTTAAAACCGAAGGTCGGTACCCTTCAACTCCAAAGCACCCGAATTCACAAACATTAAACACAAAACCAACTGGCTTGCAAATTTAGAAATGAACAAATTATTTACAGATTAGGGGCTTTCACAATTCAAAAAATTAAAACTTGAGGTAATGAAATTGATGCGTGGATACCATATTTTGGAGTAAAACTGACAGATGATAATGTAAAAATGGCCGCTGAGCGCCATCTTGGAAAAAATGATATGAAAACGGGAGACTGTGCCATATCATTTTGAAGCTCCTGACTAGTACTTTATAACCCTAGAATATAAAGTCAATACCTTTACCTACTACAAAATGGTGATGCATTTAATAATTACCTGAATACATTGACATTTAACTTGACGATTCGAATAAATACGTTGAGTTCAGTTTAGAAGATGCTAGAAATGGTTGCCTTCTTCTTGACACAATAACAGCCGGTCCTTAATTTCGCGTCGAACATTTTCAAACATAGTAACATCGATATTTCAATATTTCTACAAATATTTGTTATTCTCAGCCATATATCCAATATTGAAGCAGGTTTAGTTTCGAAAACCTTTTGCTTCAAATAGCCCCATAAAAAACGGTCAAATATGGCCATTCCACAGGACCTCGACGGCTAATCCAACGACCGGGGAAATTGTTATCTAAATAATTCCTAACTTGTCTATAATAGTGTGGTGGAGCACCATCTCGCTGGAATACAATATCAGTATCGCATTCATTAGGATTCGATTCGACGATTAGAGGGTCAATAGTATTTTCCAGCTTATCCAAATGCAGTTCCTCGGTGAAAGTTTGTTCGATGATTTCCCAATATTTCTGCCCAAACGTTATTGCTTTGTGGATATCGAGTATGAGTTTCCCGGAAGACGTGAGGATTGGTGTCATTCCAATAACGACAAGTTTGTCTATGCACATTACCGTTCAGAAAAAATGTAGACTCAAATATTTTGGATATAGGTAGGATGCTGTGCAATGGTTTCCTCCATAGTCTCGCAGAATTCTGTTCTTCGATCAGGGTCATCTTCAGTTAGCTGATGTACCATTTGAATTTTGTATGGGTGATATTTATTCTTTTTCAAAAGTACATACGGTAGAATGACAAACCTCACATACATTCGCGATGGAGGAAATAGACTTTGATCTCACCAATTATTTGAACTTGCTTTTCTTCCGGGATGGTCGGATGATCTGGGGGCTTTTTGTTGTTTACATTACCAGTAACTGTACATTTAAATACAAGTTCCCTTAAATATTTTCTACAGATAGGACGATTCGGCAAACGATCATTAAAAATGCTTTTGGTCTCGTGAAAGTTACGTGTCGCACCATAAATAAAGATCGTTTCGATTTTTTCTTCCAATGGGCGAGAATTGACCATTTTAAAAATAGTTCAAACAGTATCTAGCACTAAAACCGAAAACTAAATAAGAATATTTTAACTTTACAATGATGTTTGTTTTCGTACTGATATTTTTATTACTGTCAACAAAAAATAACAAAACAAGTTTTTATCGCTGTTGCTGTGGATATGGCAGGGAATTACAATTATTCTTAGAGATATGCATGTTAGTGGGTTTGTGTTCAAGTAATTGTTCAATGTACCAACATTTTGTAGTAGGTAAAGGTGTTGACTTCATATTCTAGGGTTATAAAGTACTCGTCAAGAGCTTCAAAATGCCACAATCTCATATAATTTTTTTCCAAGATGGCGCCCAGCGGCGATCTTGACATTTTCATCTGTCAATTTTACTCTAAAATATGGTATCCACGCATCAATTTCATTACCTTAAGTTTTAATTTTTTGAATTGATCCGTTCAACGTACGATCCGTACTGGATTATTAATAATTCATATGCCATAACTTATGTTTATGTGGTATCCCATGGTAATCGTATTAATACATTTGAAAACAAATTGTCTTGTAAGCTCAATACAATAAGTATGTATTAATAAAAAAATATGTTTAATATATGAACAAAAAAGACCAGGGTAAACATCACAATCATGGACAATATAGACAGACAAAGGTAATTTCTTTGTTTGGTCTGCATGTTTAAATGTAAGTCGCGAAAGTTGTTTGTAAGTAATATGTTTCTTAAAAATCCATTAAAATGCATTGTTTTGTTGCTGTATAACAAAATTACAATACTTTCCGACCGGATCTTATACATAGTTAGTTATAACGTGTAAATATATTCATTGACGTTGAAAAGCCTAGTCCGCAGTTTTGGATTGTATCGAGGTTAACGGAAATGGAAATCATGGCGGAATAGTGGTGGAACAAGAACAAATTTGGGACAATAAAGATTATACTCGCGTTATACCGATCTGGGGTATTAGACACCTCCATATGATAGTAGAATCTCGACGCACAACCGATATTTCAACTTTATGCATTTTTGGAAATATATCTCAAATATGTTGTTCTAGACTTAATTCACAGTGGGTCGTTTAGGAATGAATCGTTAAAATTATCTGTAAAATTATACATTATCTGATACAAATTATTAGGAACAAATTATCTGTAGCGTGCAACTATTACGTCACAAGCTAGGCAAATTAGTACGGGAAAAATGTTCATCTACGTTTAGTACTTCCTGTGCAGTGGTATTTAAACTCTACTATGAAAAAAATTGTTTAGAAATAAAATACAAAGTAAGTTACGTAACTATCATGACAGAAACAGTTTAATTTGAACAATATATTGGAATCATATTACCACAATAAACCCAAAACCTTCTGATTTAGTGATTGGTTCAATTCTGTTCAGGAAATGCAGATTGTGTAGTTACATGGAACATGCAAAAAATTATGCTATTCCATTATAATGCCTGCATCTCTTCTAGTTCCGACAATGGGATCGTTCAGCCATCGTACAGCGGTCCAGTGGTGCAGAGGTGCAAAATGATCATCAGACTCACCATTGCATACGCATGTGCAACTTGGTGCTTTCTAGCGAAAACGCAAATATGAGTACTGTAGGTTCTGCAAAACAGAAGCCTCAGAACCATAACCAATGCCCCATGGCACGTCTCAAATGAGACCCTACACAGAGATATCCACATCCCACTCGCACTAAGAACAAAAATAATTATGCATTTTCAGGTCTTCCAAAATCACTTTCTATTAAAAATTATTTCTCTTAGAGAATCAATCATTCCAGTCATTTCTTCTACAAGTGTTTCTTGTTGTTTGCTCTGTATCTTCCTTCATTCTTTCTTCTTCTCTTTCTGGGCACCAGGCCAACAGATTGACAAACTGACTGACATACTTTGATACAAAGGCAAAGGTCCCACGGACCACCTTGACAGACAACGACGAAATGACGAGTCACGTTGGCTGAACGTTCCCAATGTTACAATCAATATGTGCGAATACGTGAATACAAAATTATATTGCAAAATAATAATTGCTCATTACTTAATAAGTTATTATAACACTGCGGCAGCATTCATGTATAGTATGGTTTATTATTTGAGTACATTTATCATAGGTAATGCATATACAGGTCATCGACCTAGTCTTTTTTAAATAACCCGATTATGAATGTTTGGGTAATGATAACATGAGTAAGCAAACAGATATCTAGGATAAGGTTGAAGGCAATAATAGTTTTATATATCAAGTGAATTGAGTGCACTCAATAGTTTATGTAACAACTGATCTTTAAATTTTATTTTGTATGACAATATACAATTGAGACTGCGTTTTTCATTCGAAATTAATTGCGTTATTGTAAATGCGATATTTCGGTCAAATTAAACTAAACATGATGGGTTCGTCCATTCGGCCAAAAGACAGCCGTCCATGGACAGCTGTTCCTGCTTCTTGGCTACGCATCAGCGTGGTCTAGGCTTGGTCTCTCGTGTCTGACAACGAACGGGAGCATCGCAACTGTCATCTATCCAAATAAGACTGTTCCAACAAATAGCTGCTAGCCGGTCGATTCTGATGAAGTGATTCTTTGAATAACATGATTTATCAGTAAGAATCATATTCCAGTTTCCTTAACTCGAATAAACTATTCAAAATAACTATATACTTCCAGTTACAATGCAAGAATACAATATACTCGTCAAGGGTTGTAGAATATTTTCAAATACCCATTTCTTAATGAGTAAGCCTCCTAGATTATTCTATATGGAACTACCTAGCATTTTCTAGAAGGCTCCAGTGGAAAACTGCACGATTGCTAGGTGTTAATTCGCAACCTTCACCAATAAAAGCTGAAGCAAGAATCACTCTTTGAGTTTTATCTCATATTTTGGAAATACCCAATACCTATACATTATGCAGTTCAGATTACACGTATTAATATAAGCAAATCGGCGGAAGTTATAAATAAAATTCCGGAGGAAACTGTAAGGGGATTAAACATTTGGTGAAAGCCGCGGCTTGTCACTTTTTTTTCGACCATATCTACTAAATAAATTTTGGAGCACTTAAATCAGAAACAAATGTTCACGTTATTGCAAAAAAAGCTGATAAAAATGAATCAACGAAGTATTTTTTCTTACTTCTATATGCGTGACACTGACTAAAACATGTACTTTGCCACAGTAATATTTAGAAAAATTACATTATTCCTTAAAACCTGTACGACAGCACAGGGTGTATTTTATTAAGAAAATACTGTAGTTTCATGGCAATAGAAGATATTGGATATTTAAAATAAGTTTCACATTTATACTGCCAAAAATGTGCAAATCAATTAATATTAAACTTTTTTCTGCAACTATTGTTATCAAATGGGTAGGAAAAATACTTGCCATGAGTGCAGTGTTATTGCTGACTTCCTCTACCACGAAGCAATACTCATTGGTGGAATTACTGTAGGTTCTAGCAGGTTGTTCTACCATGGCCACAATGGCTAAGTTGATATCGTTCCTCATCATGAATGACACGAGAAAACCTGACCATGATAGCAGGTAAAGGACGAGTCTCGCTGGTACTTGGCCTGGAAAGTAGTTTGATATTTTAAAAAAATGCCTTGAACATGCAACGAATATAATGACTTAGGTGGCAAAACAACAGTCATCTAGATTCATTATCATCATATCTCTGATGGAGATGACTACTTTGCTTTCGTTCGTGGAGCATGACGTATACCGCTCTGATTCCCATTGAGTATAAATCGGGGGATGGAACGTATACGATTCTTGGATGAACGAACGCAGTTCAACTTTCCAAGCTTGGAAACTCTAAAACAGAATACTCGGTAACATGTTTGCCGTTCTATCGATAAAGCCATACATACGCCAAAAAAAAAGTGAATCATACCTGCCCCTAGTACTTACAACCCCTAACCCCCTATTTTTAACCCCTAAAAAAAATTCCGGAAATAAGGATACTTTGAAACATCAAAAACGAAGTATAGCATAGTAGTAATTTTGGGTGAGAGGTTCATCAAAATCTGACCTGTACTTTCCAAGTTAAAGACGGGCCAAGGATTAGCGAACAGACTGACCGACAGATAGGCAGACAGACCGACGGAAATAACTGATATAGTCTTTTGTGATGTACATGTCATATAACACCCAGAAACAGAATATTTCATTCTCTGAATTTTTTCTGATTGGGATTCTTTTCCGCCAGCAGGCGTGAGAATTGCGCACTAGTGGTTGGTTTGAATAAAGTACAGGGACACTTAATTTTAAATTCAAACGAAGTTGAGTTATATGCCGTGAAAAAGTGGAGTCATGTGGACTGATTTTATAGTCCACTCAATGGTTTGTCTTCATTTGAAATTCTGGGCACATGAAAATTGTACGGGTCATTAAGGCAGTAGTAACCAGAAAACTCAGAAATGTCATAAAAATGAGTTTACAGAGATATTCTGCGATTCTTCGCTTTTAGCTCACAACTCTGCAGCGGCTGGACATATTTTCACAATCTACAAAGTACTACGATGACAATAATACCACCAAAAATCGAACAATATACCATCCGAGTTATAGAAGGAGATAAGGAAAATGTCCTAAAATAAGTGGCATACGACATTGTGTTTTATGATTTACATATTATCCAGGTTGGAAAAAACATCATGTCTGGATTCTGAATGTTCCAATATTTTCTGTCCAGCTGACGTGAGAAGCAATATTAAGGATATTGTGGTTTTCGCTTAGGACCGTATCGTCAGTAGTTCCTACAATTGAAAAGTGTAAGTTCTAAAGGGTCTATGTGCCAAAAACATGGAACCGAGATAATCAAATGAAACTATCTGAGTAAGAAGTAAACGATATTTTAGCTTTAAATATATTTTGTAAGACAAATCAGGTTACTTTAAGTAAGACCCTTGAGAAAACGAAATTTAAAAGTAGGTATTAACTATTAACTAATTCAAAAACAGAAAATCGTAAAAGGATCTAAGTGCCTCATTATGCAATTCTGAAAAGGATCAATGTGCCTTATTAGGCTTTTTTCAGGTTTTATATCACCCCGATAAGTTTTGTACTCGAAGCCACTTGTCCTCAGACGTTTTTGTTCCTTTTTTACACTTTCTGAACCTTTTGACCTTCTTTTTCGTTCCATTTTCAGTTAAAACATGGAAATAACACAACAGAACAACACTGTCACGAAACCAGATCTGCTTCGTAGCCTTGGCACATGGACCCTTTATGAATAAAATGGCACTTACAGGGACCGCCATCTATTTGACAGAAAATAAATACCTAAATGAATCGCTGGCTCTTACTACCTTTGTAATATTATTAGGCATGGCACATAGACCCTTTTCACTTGAATAATTGAAAATATTTGTTTTTGGCACTTTAGATCTTCAATTGTAGCACGCCTTTAGGGCTCCTTGATTTTCATAGTTTTCTCCTCTTCCGTGTCAGCTCTCTATTTTGAGGTTATGTTACAAATATCTATTTGCATCAAACTGCTCATACTTTTGATTTATATCATCTGTTATATAGCCTGAAATTTCCTACAATTCAAGAAGAAAACACAGCCTGACAATAGGAGATCTCTGTCGCTGACACGTAACAGTAGAAATCCAGAGATATCGCAGCCTTTCTGAAGGAGAGGAAATACTATGAAAATCAAGAAGCCATAAAGGCAGGCAGGCAAAGACAATTTATTGTAGGTACGACTGACGATACGGGTGATACGGCCACAATTTAATATGCCTTTGTGGAAGCGTCTAAAAAAATTATAAAAATGAGCATTTTTTAAAAAAATATCTATAAATGAAAACCCTAAAAATTATGAGAAAAAAGTTAGTGGCCACCTTGGAGATCCCTGTCCATTTAAAGAAAATAGGCGCATTTTTTAATTCACGGTTGAGCCACCATCAACTATAGAGACAAGTTTATAGACAAGTTTGGTGTACAACCTGTCGCTCAGATGGAAATTAAAGGAAGTAAAATTGGATAATTGGTTGCATCGGTGGCTCAACCGGTGAATTAAAGAATACGCCTAATGGTTGAAAATTGGAGGATGGACGTTGTAGGAGGTTGCTAATTGTACAACTCTGGTATTAATTACATCATAACTGTTGGATGTTATAGTCAAACATATATACAGGGTGTCCAATAAGTACCACGACAAACTGAAGGAGAAGGTAGGCTTTGGACTGCCCTCCCAAATAACAAAAACTTACCTATATAAAAGTGTCACCGTTTTTGAGATATTGAATTTTTTATTAAATTTAAAAAAACGAACCTTTTCATCTGTGGTGTTTAGCTGCATATACAAATAAGGTATACTTTGTTCATTTTTTCTATAAAATACTTCTAGATAGTTGCTTTATCATATACAAATGCAATGTAGTTGAAAGATATTATGGAACCACGATAAAATAAAGACTGTTTTGGGATTTATAACCTTCTGATATTGTTTCCTGAACTTTGACCATCTGTGGTGAAACAAAAATGTACTGCGCTATAAGTGCATTTATTGAATAAAAGATTGCTCATTGAATGCAGATTTCAGAACGGCGCCACACGTACTATTTGGAATAGAAAAAAGTGATATTTGTAAGTGTCTGACACACACTACAATGTAATTATTGGATTTAAATTTAAGTTACCGACCAATTACATGCTAAATAATCTTTTTGTCCAGTATAATGCAGTTATAGCCCAGTACCTTTTTGTTCCCCACAGATGGTCAAAGTTGAGAAAAAGATATCACAAGGTTACAATAATTAATTGTAAAATCCACAGATGAAAACGTTCGTTTTTTTAATTTAAGAAAAAATTCAATATCTCAAAAACGGTGACACTTTTATATAGGTAAGTTTTTGTTATTTGTGACGTCAGTCCAAAGCCTACAGCCCTTAAGTTTGTCGTGCTACTTATTGGACACCCTGTATATATAATTTCCATAGATTGGCCATTGAAATAAATCGATTTATTTCCGTATAAACAAATATAATGAATGCGCAAGCAAATTTATTCACAAAGGATATTTAAATAAGTGAAGATCTATATACACGTTTCAAGTCTTTTGAATACACATGACCCATTCTTATTCTTAAACATTTTTAATAGCGGCCAATTTGACCCACTTTGATTTTAGCAGCTACCACTAGAACACAATAAAAAATAATAATAAATTCAATAATAATAAAAATTATGGGCATTATATTCACTCAGATAGAAATCTGTTCAACTAGACTCTATAACCCTCATGCAAATGTTTGTTTTAATCAATGTTTTCGTTAGGTTTGTGAATAAACCGAATATAATCTTATTGATAACAGATCTGCCTGGGAAGTACGGTGTACAAATCTCCATGATGCCATTTGTTTTACATTTTAGCAAGTGTTCAATAATATTTAATTATATCTTACCCGGTATGCTGCGCAAACAAGTCAAACATTGGTCCATGTTGCACATGACTCTATCGTAAAACAGGAAGAACACTATCTTATAAAAAAAATTAACGTTCCTAATCTGAACCACCCAAGATAACGTAAACACAACAGATCATCTACGGTACGCAGTGACCCTTGAAATCATATTAGCGTAAAGACTCGGTAGCTATTATCAATGGAACTGAGATAAACGGCGCCATTGGACAGATATTATTAAGCTAATGTGTTAGTAATGCAGCGGTTTTGCATTAGAACTGGAAAGCCATCGGTCATACTTTTAGTTAGTTAAACTGTGACAACATGGATACATTAAAATGGACCCAAGATGAGTGTTTTATCCATCTAAAGATCTGAATGTGTACACATTAGTGGTGATATCATTGAGTTGACAAATAGAGTATCGTAATAATGAAATTATGTCTAAACGGGTAAGAGATCAATACAACGTGATCAAAAAAAACAAAGCTGATAATATGACCAAAAATAACAGAAAAAGATCACATAAATACGTGTCCTAAAGGGCTCCCTTATCGGGATACAAGGTGTTGGAAGGATTTAATTTGAGAAAAAATATATCCTCGGACTGGAAAAGGTATCGATTTAAGATTTTGTACATGCAAGAATATAACCAACATACAGGTCAAAAGTATATTGACAAATATGAATATTTACCTAAATACCTTTAGAAAACGAATTCATACTTCATTCCTCCATAAACAAATGCATTATTAGTAGAAAAACTAAATTCCTTGTTTTTACATTATTTGCAATGAACACAATACAAGTCTGAATATAAGCACTTTTTTATGAGGGACAAAAATATGTAGACAAATTCTTTTCAACATTAGTTTAGTACAGTTTCGTGTCAGAAGTGGATTAGTTTGTGTTCATCAAGTATTATGGAATAAGTTGAGTGATTTTAGGACCATGCCGCATGGTCCAGAAACTTCTTTCGATGTGAAAACTAAGATCATTGAGTTATACAAAGACGGTCAACGTCAAGTCGACATTGCCAAAAATTTGAAGCTGAAGCGTACCGCAGTTTGGGCATCATTGAACAAATATGAACAAAAAGGTATCTTGGAAGCCTCTAACAGAAGTGGTCGGCCTAAATGCTAGATCAGTTAGATTAA